CATGTTGCCTTAGCCGTGTTGAAACATCCAAAGAGCACGTCACACTGGATTTCGACATGATCAGAGTCAACAAAAAGTGTAAAATAGGGGTAAGATGAGACAACACTTCAGTTGTCAAAAACTTTATTCATAAACAACATCCCAAACCAAAATAATTTTCCTCACTCGACAATTGAGGAAAAACATTATAGCCAAAAGATAGCTTAACAAATTGTTGATAAACTCGACAAAACCAAGGATATCTCAATTTCACAATACTTTAAGAGATTTTCCATTTTCTTCCATTACAACCTTTTTAGAAAAGAAAAGAATATCATCTGTGAGATCACGTCTCCCAAGAAGAGTACCAATTTAAACAAAACTAATGTTTGAGGTCTCCAAGATAAAGTGTTTAGTCATTGGTTGGGTAAATTCCTAATTGGTAAACTTTGTAACTAAGTTTCTCAATGATGTCAAAAACGTTCAATGTGAAGCAAGGAAAAATGGGTGTAATACTAGGAAGTGGGTTGATGATGTACTTCATTTCACAATTTAGTGATAAGGTAAAAACAACCATAAGCTTACTGTCTTAATACAAAGCTTGTTCCTAAGCTTCCACGATCCTAGTTTATTAGGCTCAAGCGAAGTAGTTCATTGATCCTAGGAAGAGTTGATTATTGTTTTTCGAATTTCTACTACTCCCAGGATATGACAACTCACTCTCGCAAGCCTATTCTCACTCATTTAATGAGTATAACAACGAAGACAAAATCTGGGAATTAGCGTTGGTTGAAAAATTCCAAGGCTGGAAAAAGACTTTGCTAAAGATTTACTTTGAAAAGGACTTTATCGGTAGTTGATCTTCTCCCTGAAGAACTGTGAACACGAAAGTTCCTTGAAACAAGAAACAAGAATAACGTGTACAAAATAATATTTTGTGTTTGATGATTTTGGGGTTACGATCTCTCTCAAATTTGGTCCTCTGATTCTATCTCCGTAAGATGTAGATTTGTTGATCCAAGGGCCGTCGAGACTTGATCTTGGATGAACAGTTGTAAGTTTCTTCAAGGGCCTTCGTGGCTTTGATCTTGAAGGTTGATGGAAGTTTCTTCAAGGGCCTTCAGGGCTTGATCTTGAATGTTGATGGATGAGCGGATCTTCAAGGGCTTTTGGGCTTGATCTTGAAGAACGGTTGGTTTTCTTCAAGGGCCGTTGAGGCTTGATCTTGAATGAACAGTTGGTTTTCTTCAAGGGGGCTTTTGGGCTTGATCTTGAAGAATAGATGTGTGGATTTGTTTGTTGATCCAAGGGCCGTTGGGGCTTGAGCTTAGGATGAACGGATGATGAATGATGAACGCTTTCTTCAAGGGCCGTTGGGGCTTGATCTTGAATAATGGTTGTGTGGATTTCTTCAAGGGCTTTTGGGCTTAATCTTGAAGGTTGATTGGATGTGTGGATTTGTTTGTTGATCCAAGGGGCCGTTGGGGCTTGATCTTAGGATGAACGGATGATGAACAATGAACACTTTCTTCAAGGGCCGTCGGGGCTTGATCTTGAATAATGGTGGGAGTTCTTCAAGGGCCGTTGGGGCTTGATCTTGAATGAACAGTTGGTTTTCTTCAAGGGCTTTTGGGCTTTATCTTGAATAATGGTTGTGTGGATTTCTTCAAGGGCTTTTGGGCTTGATCTTGAAGGTTGATTGGATGAGCGGATCTTCAAGGGCTTTTGGGCTTAATCTTGAAGAACGATTGGATGTGTGGATTTGTTTGCGCTGTTGATCCAAAGGGCCGTTGGGGCTTGATCTTAGGATGAACAATGAACACTTTCTTCAAGAGCCGTCGGGGCTTGATCTTGAAAGAGGATTTAACGAAGAACGAAAAGAGCTTTCTTGATCCTTCGGAATTCTTGGGAATTTGGATGGTTGGAAGCTTTGGAGTTTCAAAGCTTCAAGGATTTGGGGAATTCCTCTTCTAATTTTGGAGTAGAGAAATGTATTTGTGAATTCCTTGATGCTTGATACCTTGATGGAGAAACCTATTTATAGGCTTTGAGAATGAATCACCACCACAAAAATATTTTTTTCCTTTCCAAGCACCATTGCCTAATTTTCCCACTTAATGCAATATTGAAATTGAAGTGGTGTAACTTATGGCCTAATTTCCCACTTAATACCATTTTAAACTTGAAGTGGTGTAACTTATGGCCTAATTTCCCACTTAATACCATTTTAAACTTGAAGTGGTGTAACTTATGGCCTAATTTCCCACTTAACACCATTTTAAACTTGAAATGTGTATGCTTTGTCATTGCCCAAATGAGAAAAAACTTGCTTTGATCCGTAATGGATTGAAGTGTTGCTTGCCTTGTCATTGCCCAACATGAGAAGAAAAACTTGTTTTGATCCTCAATGGATTGTAATGTACTTGCCTTGTCATTGCCCAAAATGAGAAGAAAAACTTGTTTAATCCTTCAAGGGTATTTCTTCCTATTTTGTTGAGTCACACGCCATGTGTACAATTTGTACAACACGTGGCGTATGCCATGTATGCCTTGACACGTCAAAACTTTAATGCATTGGTGAACATTTGTTTCACCGAAATTTCGATGTCTACAAGAACCAAAATAAACACTAGTACATTTAAAGATATTAGTGATAACAGGGACCAAAAGTATTTGTCACTCAGATGATCTTCCATCAAATGTTACCACATTAGCATCACATTGTCACATGAAACATTTCTAGAATCTTAACAAGAGTAGACTTCACAAGAATTCCATAAGGTGATATTCTAACAATATAACCTTCGGAAAATAATTATCGGTGATAAGCCCAACTAAACACTAGTTAAATTAACAGTCATTCCTAACTATTTTTCACTTCAATATTACGATTCTTCACACATTAATTTATAACCAACATTTAACCACCAATAAATAAGGTTAAATCTCACATTTTCCATCAATCTCCTTCACATTGCTCAATTCCCCAAACAAGGCTATTGTCTCAATTATTTAGTCTCATTTATTTTATGGCTGCATCTAACGTCTTATTAGACTGCCTACGTACCCTAAACAGGGATCAAGCTATTCGTAGTTCATAGTATCAACAATAACATAAGCAATCACTAGATGCATATTCTGAAACATAAAGCATATATACTTGTATTAAACCAAAAACCCACTCACCTGGAGGCCTCGTTAAAATTCATAAATCCCTAGCACGAGAGTTGAGGCGACACGAACAATCAACGCCTAGAACAATTATCAAACCATGACTCAGAATCCTTATCAATAGAATACATAATTTATATAGAACACACCCCCACGATTTGATCCGGAAGATCTGCATCCCAAATTTCCAATCCGAAATTTCCAAGGATCCACATTATGCTTCTAGAACAATATACTGAAATTTCATTACGATCGAACAGTTGGATCTCCACCAGTTTCAATTTCAAGTGGTGATTAACTTTTTATTTTATAAACTTACAATTCCAATTTGGAAAGATCCATATGTCAGATTCCCGATCTGTATGTTCCTGTGATCCTCAAATATTACGTACTATAACATATTAAATTTTGGTGATGATCCAACGGTTGGATTGTCGATACATATTTTTGACCTATTCACGTGTTGAAATGAAACTAAATCCAAATAATGAAATTACGTCATACAGATATCAAATATGAACCCATGGCATCTAATAGTACTTAAAAAAAACATCATTGACCCACAGGCCACGTGCTGCCGCACAGGCTGCCGCAGGTGGCGATCAGCTACCCCGACTTGCCGGAACATTCAACTATTTTTAAAAATTCTCAAAAATTACAGAATTGAAGATCTCAAAGAGTAGAGTAAACTTTATACCTGTGGCCAAGTCCAATTTGGCATAGAAAGGCTCAAATTTTTCTAAAACCGTACGAAACCCTAGAATTGGGTGTGATTCGATTCGACCTCCAAACTTGCTTTGATGCCTCCACCACTGCTTGAGCTTTGTTCTTGGCTTCTAGGGGAGTGTTTTGGTAGTGGTAGTTGAACGAAAATGTTTCACAAATGGGTGGATTTCGAGTAAGTTTCCCGCGGCACCCATTGGTGTTCTTCGTGAAATTTCTACCATTTCATGCAAATTTTGGTTAGATTTGAATGTTGGGATATGGTGATAAGGTTTGATGGTGGTGAATGGGTGAAAATCACCTGAAAAACAGACAAGAATCGTCGGAAACCACCCTGGGTTAAAACCAGGTTTTTGGGTGTTCGAAGGCCATGGGAAGAAAAATGGGAAGGAAGCTGAGAGCTTCCCTCTCTCCTCCTAATTGGTTATTTCTAATCTCCAAATTTTCTGATTGGTTCCCCTTCCCACAAAGTGGGACTTAACACTTATAATCTAAAATATAATTAACTAGTTTCAAACGTCCGTAACTATACCGTTATAATTTGAACTCGCAAACCGCTTTCGTCTATGCATTCGTAAAGACAAGTACTACAAGGACATACTAAAAGAATAAGTCCCACATGTCTCTAACCGATGGTCATCTAAGGTCAACACCCTCGCCTCTAAGGGCATTTTCATAAAATCACACTTTCAAAATTTTTAAAATTGTAAAATTAGGGACGGTTTGTCACAAGGAGTGTAGCTGCAAAAAAATCATGAAAACGTTAAAATAACCGTTAAATCGTGATTTTTCATTTATAACCGTCAAAAAGTTTTGCCCTGTTACTTGATCTTTGAATGTTTGTTTTTACGATTTTTGGCATATGTGATCTCGAAGCTTATACAAACAAGTTTGACGGTTGGATCATTGAAATTAGTTTTGTAGAATGCGTATCCCATCAAAACAATTGATTCACTAACACTTAAGAGTTTATTTATACTATCATTAAGTATAACATAAGATTTTTGTGATATACACTAGTGTAAATATTTTAAATTGAAGATCGAGTTCATTGTATTCATATAGGGTCAGGGAGTGTAGTTGTAAAAAAATCATCAAAATCGGAGTTAAAATAACAGTTAAATCGTGATTTTTCGTTTATAACCGTCGAAAAATTTTGTTTCATTTTGACAAAAACAAAATATATCATACATAATTAAAAAAAAAATTAAATCGGAGAAGGCGGGAGACTAAAAATTTGGAGAGCTGCCAAAATTTTGGCATGGCTTCTCTCTCACAGTTTCTCTACCTCTCCTATTCAGAAACAAAACCCTAGCCTCCATCCTTCATTTGTTCTCAAAATCTCAGAGCCACATTCATCAAAACCAACACCATCTCTCCATTTCTCTCTATTTCTGCCTTCATCCAAAAAAATTTCACACACCTCCACTTCTGCAAACCCGAGTCCAGTTCCACCTTTTCGACTCTCAGTGCATAAATCCTCGGTTCTACGACACCCACAAGGGACTTCGATCAGAGATGAGGGCCGAGAAAAATGATGAACTGAGCATTTCGACCTCTGAAATCCCCAATGGAGGGGGCTTTTCTGCATTTCGATCTCCAAAACTTTGGGTATGTTCTCAATCTCTAGACCCTATCCTTTTCCCTTTAGCTTTTTGTTTAGTCTCAACTTTATGGTGCTTTTCTTATATTTGTTCTGTCACTGTAATTTTAAGTTATTTTAGTTAATGAATTTGGTTGAGAATCTTAGTTAGGTTTGTAATTATTTTTCTTGGTTGCCTGGGTTTGAGAATGATTAATCCACTTTCTGAATTTTAATTACTTTGAACTTTGATTTTTGGGAAACTGCAATTTCAATAATCTAGAAGAAGGAAAAACAATACCCAAGAAAAACCAAAAAACCACAAACCATGATTTATTCAACGCTTCAAGCCAGTCATTATAAGTTATTCGATCTTTCAAGCACACAAACATCACTCTAGATGCTTTATGTATCCAAAGAGTGATACAAGCTTAATTTTATTTTCTGACTTGTATAAATACCAAAGCATTTCATATGGGGAATGCTGACTTGAAGCCCGATGCTTTTACTTTGTCTAGTGTCCTTCCAGTTTTTGCAGAATATGTACATGTTATCAAGGGAAAGGAGATTCATGGGTTGCTGTAAGACGTGGGCTTGATGCACATGTATGCATTGGGAGTAGCTTAATTGACATGTATGCCAATTGCACTCGAGTGCAAGATTCCCTGCGGGTGTTCAACCTGCTACCTAAGCATGATGCCATTTCATGGAACTCGATCATTGCAGGATGTGTGCAGAATAAACGTTTTAGCTCTAGTTGAACTGTGGATTCAGTTTAGGAGTTGTGGCATCTGTGCGTGGGTTACCTATTGCATTATGCCTTACTACATTGTAAATTTGTAATCAACATATTGGTTTTTCCTTTTCTTTGTCTTTGTCTTTGTCTTTGTGTTACCTATTTCTTTCTCCACTGGTACAGGTTAGAGTCTACAGGAAGAAAGAAAGCAACTGATCATGTACCTGCAGTTAAGAAGCGTAAGAAATCAGAGAGGCTTGGGGAAGGCCAGGTATACATTCATCCGTTCAAACATGTTCCTCAATCGAAATGAATTTTTCTTCACTGACCTTAGTGTATCGTTCTATGTAGTTTGTGCATGTGAAAGCAGAGAGAAGTCTACTTGTAGAGGTTGACAGTAATTCTATCCTCAAGCTCTGTTGCTGCCTCCAGGATGAAAAGTCGTCCTATTTGTTTACGGTTTAGGGTTTAGGTAGAGGGTACCATCTCCCATTGATCCACAAAACTACAATTCCAGTCTCCAAATCCAATAAATAAACAATTGTTAAGGTCAAATCAGTCACCAACTATTTATCTGTTCATTGGAAGCTGGAAGCCACACTTGAATACAATTCTGTGAGTGAGTGAGACGCACATTACTCACTCACCCGAAACTTTCAAGGAAATATTGATTTCACTTTCTAATTGTAATTATTTTTAAAGTTCTTCTCTTTACTGGTTTTCAGGTTTTACTTGTAGAATAATAAATGACAAGGAGCTTGAGGTACCTCAAAACATTTTTTCATTTCTAGTGTGCATATTTTTTAACATGCCTTTGCATTTGTTTATTACTAGTGTTCTCATTGTGACAGAACTACTCATTGTTAAAGTCTCTCTACTACTGTCTCCTTTAAATTTAATAACTTGTTGATTTGGGCAGTTACTTGTGCATTTGCCTTGAAGGATTTATTTCAGCAGACCTGATTGGCTTAGCTCTGTTGGTGAGTTTTTCTGTACTGCTTTCACTGGGAGGAAAAATGGCTGCCATGAAATTGTGATCTAAAATTGATGCATTCCATAGACAAGGACATGCCTGGCATGCAACCTATCATCTTTAATTTGACATTTGTTTTCACAGATACACACATGTATATTCTTTGAATTGTTCTGATATTTGTATCATAATTAAACTTGTGGTTGTGTGGTTTTGGTGTAGTGAGATATGAGGAGTGACGAAGGAGCTACATAAACTGTAGCGAGCTGCATGAAGTAGTGAGATACATGAAGGAGCTATATGAAGGAGTGATGAAAAAGCTATATGGAGTGATGAAGGAGCTACATACACTGTATGTACAAAAGGGAAGATGCTTTTATCTGCACGTCTTCGAAAGAATTCAAGTTTGTATTTTCGGAGTTTGAGGACTTGTGTTAATATGTTCAAACTTATATCTTAGGTTTTTAATGAATGTATTGGCTTTACCACATTGATCTTATATACGTTTATTTTATTAATGATAATACAAAATATTCTTTAAACAATGCTTAGTGGAAATTTTACCAAAAAACATCTATTTTTTGCCTCAATTTTCATTGGTGTATTAATTATTGTTTATAATTTAATTACGATAATTATAAAAAAATTAAATAAAAAATATTTTGTCAAAAAAAAGAAAAAAGAAAAAAAGGGTTTGTGCAACGTCAAGGTTCTAAAAAATGAAAGGAGTTAGTCGAGTGGCAGGCTGGCGCCTAGCACCTAGGCGACTTAGGCGGATTTAGGTAAATTTGTTATATATTTTATGAATTAATTAAATTTACTATATCAAATGTAAATAATTATTGACTAATATGCTATTTCTTATAGAAGAACATACATATGTGAACGTTTTATGTACATATATAATATGCTTGCCTAGGAAAAAAAACAAAACATTATCTAAATAATTTATAATTTATATAACATATATATATATAAATATATATCCCAAACTTTTAAAAATATAAAAAAAAACCCACAAAGTGGGTGGTCTTCATTAGTAAAACCATTAGCACCTCACCTCTTTCACATCACCCGTCCACCACCTTGGGTCCATGGTTTCAATATAAAATATATATTTGAGATCCTAGTCCATCAAAACCATCAGCGTCCATGGTTTTGATAATTAAAACCATCAGCTTTTCCTTGGATTTGAGATCCCAGTCCTCGCCTTCGCATATTGAAATGTTTTAGACTTTCAGTCTCTCTCTCTCTCTCTCTTCACACTCTCTCTTCCCTCATCTTCACAGACAAGCTGCAAAATAGACCACTAATTGAAATGTTTAATTGTCTCTCTCTTTGTTTCTTTTTGCACTCTCTTTTCCCTCATCTTCATAGAGACGAGTTGCAGAAATTCATCGGTAATCTCTCTCTCTCTCCGCACTCTCTCTTCCCTCATCTTCACAGAGACGAGCTGCAGAAATTCCCCAGGGCTCTACTGCTACATACGAGATCGGAAGTTGTAGATCCATTGCGAAAATTGCAGCAAGTTTGGGATTTGTAGCGAGATTCAAACCACCTAGGCTGCCGCCTAGCCCGCCTTAAGTTCCTAGCGAGCGCCTAAGCGGCCTCCTAAGTCCTCCCTGCCTAATTGAATGTTTTGGTCTAAATCGGGTCGAAGCTCCTCTGCCCAACACCTAGACGGCTGCCTAGGCTGATTATTAGAACACTGTGCAACATAGGTGTTGTCGTCACATAAAGATCTTTTGTGCGACGTATGTTCTTCTGTTGTGCAAAGTCCTTTTACGCAATGCAGGTTGTCTCTTCGTCACACAAACCCTGTTTTCACTGCCTTTGTGTGACGGTTGGCGCGTGATGAAGATTTCATTGGGCTAATTTCAGGCAACGGTTTTTGACTTTGCGCGACGAAGGTACTTGCATCGCGCAAACTGTTTTTTGTACTAGTGTATGAAGCCTAAGAGTTTTGGTAAATTGTAGATAAATACGTGGTGGTATGAAGGGTTTTTTTGCAGTTACTTAGGGGCGCTTGTTTAGAAGTGTTTTTAAAATTATTAAAAGCGTTTTTAGTAAAATTGATTTTGCGTAAAGTGATTTTTGGAAGAAACACGAGATATGTGTTTCTTGCAAGAAACACTTAAAAAGTTTTTCCAAGATCCACTTGAATTTGTACTAAAAATTGGTGTCAAAAATATTTTCACCCAAAATACTTTCAATCATTTTAAAAGCATATCCAAATGAGCACTTTATACTTATGCCTATATCAAATGTGGGTTTACAAAAGGGAAATGATTTAACACAACTATTTTAGATTCTTACACTTTTTTTTTTGGGACAAACGATAGTAGCTACACTAAAGGGAGGGGGTGAGCTTAGCTTTACAAAGAGCTAGCAATAATGTGGTTCAAATTTGCCTTTAATGAGAATCGAATCTAAGACCTCTCACTTACAAGTAAAGAGGAATATCACTATACCGTAGTATTAAGTGGCTACACTTTTTTTATTTATGCTCATTGAATTGAATAAAACAGGCGGAATTAAAGACTTGGAATGTGGAGGGGGATCCTTTCTGGATCCCTTCCACCAAGGTCACAAATCCAGGCCTTTGAAATTTGATTCAACGGTTACAAACAGGGGCTCACTTTAAAAGTTATAATAACTTTAACTATTGAATCAAATTTTAAAAGTCTGGATTTATGGCCTTGGAATGTATAAGAAACTAAAAAGGTAAGTGAAAGCCGATGATTTTAGCCAAATTCCCAATAAAGAAGGGAAAGAAAAGGTAAAAGAGACTAACGCCAAAGAGTGCCGAAAGCAAATTAAAGACACAGAAAAAAGCCCATGAAGAATTCATTTCTCGGACTCAGGCCCAGAGCATGTCAACCCAGGTCTGTGCTTTCTGCTTTCTATGGAGCTCTCTCCCCCCCTTCCAAAACCCCCTCAAAACCCTGATCTCCAATTGCACTATGCCCATCAATTTCCCATCATTACCAACCTCAATTTAATGTCTTTTTCTGTTTAATCTGATGATTAGGTATTACAATTTCAAACCCAGTTTTTCTAAAGTTCTTTTTATCAGTCTTAAAATTGGCATATAAAATTTTCAATTTTGTTGTTGTTTTTGATGTGATTATGTTTGCTTATTGAGTTGTTTGAACAATGATTAGGAGGAGATTAAGATGATCCAACAACCATCGGTGATCCTTGCAACGGCTAGCTATGATCACACTATTCGGTTTTGGGAGGCCAAAAGTGGCCGCTGCTACCGTACCATCCAGTACCCTGATTCAGTTTGTTCCTCACTTTTATTGTTTTGGTTTTAGAAAGAAATGATCTATGTGTGTGTATGTATTTGTGCTTTGAATTTTGGATTCTGGGTTTTTGTTAAAATGTCGATTTCGCTTTTAAATGATTGAATCCGACTGAATTAAGGAGAAATAGTTGGATTGGGTTTCGTCGAATGGAATGGTTTTCTTATGTTGTAGGTCGTTGAGTTTCCTTTGGTTTATAGTCCTTTGGTTGTGTTTTCCGAAATGATTGTGAAATTTTTTATGGATTTACTCTTGTTCTTATTTGATTTATTTATGCTGGATCTGACTTTCCATTTTTCATGAGCATAGCAAGTTAATAAGCTCGAGATAACTCCAGATAAACGCTTCCTGGCTGCAGCCGGAAATCCTCACATTCGATTATTTGATGTTAATACAAATAGCCCTCAACCGGTTCGTATTTCTCAGGCGTTAGTCTTGCTTTGTTTGCATCGAATTAAAGGAGGGGGATGGAGAATCTTGTATGCTTTATATGGAGGTGGATTGTCTGCTCTCCCATTTCCATACTTTCCCCATGCCCTCCTGTCTGTGTGGTCACGGTTAAGCCACGTCAACATTTTATATTCCTGTTACTTTTTGTTTTATTATTTTTATAAAAAATTAATATAAAATGTTGACGTGGCTTAACCGTGATCACACATCACATGAGGGCATGGGAAGAGGATGGAAATGGGAGGGCAGACAATCCACCTCCGCTTTATATTAGTTATTCTATCAACTTATGAGCATTTTTTTTTTGGTATGACTGTAGGTGATGAGCTATGAGTCACATAGCAATAATGTAATGGCTGTAGGGTTTCAATGCGATGGGAACTGGATGTATTCAGGTTCTGAGGATGGTACAGTAAAAATTTGGGATCTGAGGTATTCGCTGCCAACAGATATATATGCTTGTTTTGTTTCGTAGTTCATTAAGTTTTGTTCATATGTTTTAGTATAATTTAGAGTTATATGTTGACTTATTTACAGAGCTCCGGGTTGTCAAAGGGAATATGAAAGTCGTGCAGCTGTTAACACTGTTGTGCTTCACCGGAACCAGGTGAAGCACCGTCTCTTCCTTTCCTACCATAAAATATAAATGTTGCCAAAATCACTATCCGGTTTTACTGTTTCATAACTTGTGAAATTATTAAAGAAACTAAATGAAAATAAAGAAGATGAGACCTTGCATGCTGTAATGGTTTTGATTGTTTGTCAAAGATGTTAACATTTTTTATATTCGTTTTTATAGACTGAACTAATATCTGGGGACCAAAATGGCAATATTCGTGTTTGGGATTTGACAGCAAATTCGTGCAGCTGTGAATTGGTATCTTAATTTTCTTGCACTTTTGTATTTCTATACATCTTTTATTTCTTCTACTATTCAAATTGCTAATCTATACTAACTTTCAAGAGGTCTGTTAGCGAGTGTGTTGTCCGAAAACCAATATTCCAAACCTTTGGTATGTTATTAGGTGAAAGGAATATCTAAATGGGCGATACCATTAGTAGACTCGTGCACATGCATTGCAAGTTGTTTATTTGAAGAAAACATTAAAGGGATAAAAGTAAATAAATAAATAAAAATATAGTGGTGTCCTGTGCAGGAGTAGATGGTTGGTGGAAATTGATTTTTGGATAGTACTTACTAAGGATTAGAATGTGAAGTTGTGGTGCTAGGAGTGTTTATTACTCTTGATATTTTTTCATATGGAGCTTACTCGTTTTATCTGAAGCATCTTACAGTTGTACATGATAAATTTAACATTGATTTTGGGAGTTAACCTAGGTTCCAGAGGTGGATACGGCTGTAAGGTCACTAACAGTTATGTGGGATGGGAGCTTGGTTGTTGCAGCAAATAATCATGGGACATGCTACGTTTGGCGCTTGTTGCGTGGAAACCAGGTAATACTCTCATCTGCTTGATTCATTATCTAATGTTATTTTCTTACCATGCTTGATTCATTTTGATGTCAAGTACTTTTTCTTCCAGACGATGTCAAATTTTGAGCCACTTCATAAGCTGCAAGCACACAAGGGATACATTCTTAAATGTCTTCTTTCACCTGAATTCTGTGAACCCCACAGGTTTGATTCGTGAAGGACTATGACCTTTTTTCTTATATTTTTGGGTTCAAATATTATCTGCCCTTTCGTTCTCTTTTGTTCCTAACTG